GCTCAACCGTCGTTACAAATGTGATTTGAACATTATAATATGGGTGACCTCCTTTTACATTTTGTCCAATCATACAGGATTAACGTTATTTTACTGTCATTGGCATGTCTGAATAAAGCGTGAAGAGGATTTTTACCCACTTTCAAATATGTGTCATCGTTTTCACCCCTAGACTTTCAGCATGTTCGGAGCTGTTCTCCTCTTGGTGTTCACACGTGTGAGAAACATATGTACTGGTACTTCTAAGCAGGATGTAAAATATAATCCAACTGCTGCTCCCTGAAAGCTGGAACAAAGTTTGGCAGCCAAGGCCATTAAATCACTCACTTGGTTGTCGTCATGGCTGTGTGTTACATACAAAATACAGCAATCAGTTTCCCCCTCAAGCCCTCTGCATCACTCACCCGTTTTTTTCTCAGTAACTATTTCATAAACACCCAGCTGTAGATCATCATCTTTATGCCTGATTGCAAGATCAAAAAACAAAGAAGATAAAGGAAAGGTTCTCGAGTTATTTTATTTCATCCATGTTCCTTTTTACTTGCCTTGTTTTATTGCTCGCCTCCAAAGGTGAAAGGGTATTGATGTTTTGTCTGTGTTCACTTGTCTGTTGCAATAGCAAAATATCTCATGAACCAGAGAATGGATTTTAATGAAACTCTGAAAGAAGTGATTGTATGTTCATCTACAACTGATTAATTATTTACATTAGCTGATCAAAGATGGTTGCCACAGCCAACAGAACTTAGAACACACAAAAATGACTCATAATTGACTCGCTGGATTTATTTTTTAGAAATAGATCCTGTCCAACTCTTAATGCTAGGAAACACATTGTAACTGTGACTTTCCTTCCCTTCATTGACTACGGTGACATTATTTACATAAACACTCCTACAAGCATCTTGCAGATGTTGAATGCTGTCCATCACAGTGCACTAAGATTCATAACTGGCTGTGATTGTACCCACCACTGCACCACTGGTTAACTGGTCATCATTAACTTCATGCAGACTCTCTCACTGGTACATTTTCAGCTTTAAATCACTTCTTGGTCTGTTGCCTTCATACATCTCCTCCTACATGACTCTGCGTGAGTGCAGCTACAGCGTGCACTCTCAGGACATTATTACCTGCAGTATTCCCTCAGTGCAAACTGAACTTGGCAAAAGGGTCTTCTCCTACTCTGCTCCTGTTTCCTGGAATATCTTGCAAAAAGATCTGAAGCTCCCGACCTTGACCTCTGTAAGTGGCTTTAAACATATGTCAAGTTCCTGGCAAGAACCAATGCAGACATGTTCCGGTTTTTAGTTTTCTACAAACCGGATTCCAAAAAAGTTGGGACACTAAACAAATTGTGAATAAAAACTGAATGCAATGATGTGGAGGTGCCAACATCTAATATTTTATTCAGAATAGAACACAAATCACAGATCAAAAGTTTAAACTGAGAGAATGTATCATTTTAAGGGAAAAATCTGTTGTTTCCAAATTTCATGGCGTCAACAAATCCCAAAAAAGTTGGGACAAGTCCATTTTTAATACTGTGAGGCATCCCCCCTTCTTCTTACAACACTCAACAGACGTCTGGGGACAGAGGAGACCAGTTTCTCAAGTTTAGAAATAGGAATGCTCTCCCATTCGTGTCCAATACAGGCCTCTATCTGTTCAATCGTCTTGGGCCTTCTTTGTCGCACCTTCCTCTTTATGATGTGCCAAATGTTCTCTATAGGTGAAAGATCTGGACTGCAGGCTGGCCATTTCAGTACCAGGATCCTTCTCCTACGTAGCCATGATGTTGTGATTGCTGCAGAATGTGGTCTGGCATTATCGTGTTGAAAAATGCAGGGTCTTCCCTGAAAGAGATGACGTCTAGATGGGAGCATATGTTGTTCTAGAACCTGAACATAGTTCTCTGCATTAATGGTGTCTTTCCAGACATGCAAGCTGCCCATGCCACAAGCGCTCATGCAACCCCATACCATCAGTGATGCAGGTTTCTGAACAGAGCGTTGATAACAACTTGGGCTATCCTTGTCCTCTCTGGTCCAGATGACATGGTGTCCCAGTGTTCCATAAAGAACTTCAAATCGTGACTCATCTGACCACAGAACAGTCTTCCATTTTGCCACACTCCATTTTAAATGACCCATGGCCCAGTGCAAACGTCTGAGCTTGTGAAGCTTGATTAGAAATGGCTTCCTCTTTGCACTGTAGAGTTTCAGCTGGCAACGGCGGATGGCACGATGAATTGTGTTCAATGACAATGCTTTCTGGAAGTATTCCTGAGCCCATTCTGTTATTTCCTTGACAGTGGCATTCCTGTTTGAGGTGCAGTGACGTTTAAGGGCCCGGAGATCACGAGCATCCAGTAGAGTTTTACGGCCTTGACCCTTATGCACAGCGATTGTTCCAGATTCTCTGAATCTTTTGATGATGTTATGCACGGTTGATGATGATAACTTAAAAGTCTTTGCTATTTTACGCTGGGTAACACCATTCTGGTATTGTTGCACTATCTTTCTGCACAACAATGGTGGAATTGGCGATCCTCTTACCATCTTGGCTTCTGAGAGACACTGACACTCTGAGAAGCTCTTTTTATACCCAATCATGTTGTCAACTGACCTAATTAGTGTTAATTGGTCTTCCAGCTGTTCGTTATATGCTCAATTTCCTTTTTCCAGCCACTTATTGCTACTTGTCCAACTTTTTTGGGATTTGTTGACAAAGTGAAATTTTGAATCAACATATTTTTCCTTTAAAATGTTACATTTACTCAGATTAAACTTTTGATCTGTCATCTATGTTATATTACGAATAAAATATTGACATTTGCCATCTCCACATCATTGCATTCAGTTTTTATTCACAATTTGTTTTGTGTCCCAACTTTTTTGGAATCCGGTTTGTACATTCAACCAAGGAATGCTTAGCCTTTAATTTGACACATGGTTTAACTTGTGTTAATTCAATGATGGAGTGAGTGGCTGTCAAAATGATTAAGGCAACCAAATAGTAATAACTCTTTTGTAAATTTAGGTGAGAGAAAGAAATTTCCCTCATATCCATTCCACTCCCGTTTTCTGTTAACCATGTTATCGTAAGTCATTATAATGGCTTTTCACTTAGCAAACCAACAGCCAAGGAACGTACCAGTGATTCATCTGGGAGCTGTAAATTAAACTGCTCTGCAGTATAGATTATTCTACAAACACAAAGAGAACTGGTGTTACCACTGATTGTACCTGCACCACAGACTGAGCACAAGACCCTGACAATGTATTGTTTTATGTTGGAAAACAGCTTTTACCAAACATCTATTAACAGCTCTGTCTCACTCTGTGGAAATTACATCAGAGCTGTCACTCTTGGATTTAATAAAAAATAAAAACTTATGTTAGAGTGACTCAAGTTCAGCTAGGCTCTTTTAAAGTAATACTGAGCTTTCCAAGCACTGGCCATAATTTTCCAAACATCAGAAGGTAGTCTGGATAAATAGGAATCAAATGCTTTTCTTGTCCAGAGGTGTTGGCTGGACTTTAATCTTCATACAGTTTTTGATGGATCCATCCTCAGTTTGCATGCATTTTTTTTACTACTAGATTAACTGAAGGTAATTTCTTCCTCATCCAGGACCTTCCAGGCTCTTCTCCATACATGTGCTCCATGTCAACATTAGGCTCCTAACAGCCATGCACTCCTCCACATTACAACAGTGCTGCTGTTGTTCAGCATATTGTTTTGAAATATTAGTGTTCAACATATTCCTTAGTTTATATCTTAGATCTTTATTACAGTTTTACAATTTATATTTTTGCTGTTGTCGGGTGGAACTGGTACCCTGTGTTCCACCTGATGTGCCACATGTGATGTGAATGACAATAAAGAGCCTTGAACATTAATCTTTGCTCTGAAAACTCAGCCAGCGTAAGATAAAGCATTAAAAGAAAAGAATACTTTACTTCAGGCTGTCTCTATGCTAACCTGTTAGTCAAACTCTCACACTGCTAAACTGAAAAAATAAAATAAAATAAAAATCATGATGGGTTTATGAAGGCTGACTGAGAAAAAAAACAATCCTAAACACAAGTACCAGAAGGCAAAGTGTATTTCAGGAAACTCATGTTGTCAGTCTTGTGATGGAAATTGCTGCTTTCTTGGAAGAATGGCAAAATCAACTGAGCGTTTCTGCTGTCATTTCCATCTTGTGTTATTTGAATTTAGCAGAAACAGAGATATGAAACACGGGTGGGGGTTTCTACAGTCACACTACGAAGAGGCATCCCTTCTAGTTGCAAACAAAAGAAAAAAAAGAGTCCTTTGAAATGAGGGGAAGGGAAGAAATCCTGTAAAAGGTTGTATCCAACTGCTGTTTGTGTGGAATATTTATCATAACTCTGGTTTTACATGGCCTATCAAAACAATTTAAAAATGGGTGTGTAGATTAGAGTCTGTACTTTTGACTCAAATTAAAATATAGTCACTGATATGTCTTTGTCTTTCTTGTTAGAGTGACTGAAATTGCTCATGTTACTATCACGCATGAATTGGCTCCAAAGGAAAATAAAAATGAAATTGGTCAGTCAGAGTGGGCGGCGCTTGCCACCTGTTATTGAGAAGGTAGTTGTGGAGTGTCAAGGCATCAGTAGTCAGTGGAGCACTCAGTGCTGTGACACATACTGGAAGAGTGGCTCCAAATTGATCCAAGGAACAACTTCAAAGGCAGCGAACAGTAAAAATACACACACACGTGCATGCACACACGCACGCACCCAAGAGAGATACAGACAGACAAATATGACCCCCCACAGATCAGAAAGGAAGAAGTAGGTAAGAGATAATGGATGGAAGGATAACGAAGCATGCCTAAAGATATAAAGTGGCAGTAAATTAAGCAGCCTGCAGCTTGATTTCTCCCCCTCGCTATAAATAAAAATAAACATTCACATACAGCATCAAACCTTGCTAGTAATTTTACAGTTCAAACAGCAGCTCACCTCTGGTTGGATGGCTTGAAACACAGGAGCATCCATGAGTGTAATCTGACCCTGAGAGACAAACAGTTGTTCCATGAGCACAAAGGTGGAAATGAGTCATTTGAAATACAGTAAATTGAACAAATAAACATACGTCATTAACTGGAATGCTCATCAACTTTTTGAGGCTTTTTGATTGTGTTAATGCACACTTTGTAAATTCCAAAAACTTGTTTTTTCAGGCAGCACATTCAAAATTTAATTATAAATCTCAAGAAGAGTGGAGATAAAAATAAAGAGATAGTGCCCCCTTAAGGCAGAACTAGGCACAGCCAATAAATTTTAAAAAAGCACATCAAGATGAGAAGGTTTTTGTGGATATTTTGTAAAAACAAAAACAACAACAACAACAACAACAACAACAACAACAACAACAACAACAACAACAACATATTTATCATTAATTATTTATATATAATTATTGATATTAATTATTAATATTACCAGGACACAGTTAAAGCAGCCAAAAAGGACTATTTTTCTAACTTTATTTTATCTCACACCCACAACCCTAGTGTTCTTTTTAGTACCGTTGACTCTTTTCTTAACTCTCCACAGACTTCTGGTTTTGAAGCATCCACTCAGTTGTTCAATAATTTTATGCAGTTTTTTATTGATAAGGTTACATATAAGGGCTTCCATCTTACACCCAGACTCTGACCCCTCTGTGTGTGTCCCCTGCTCTGCTGCTTTCAATCAGTTTGAGCCGGTGACTGTGTCATTTCTAGAGGACATGGTCGCTCAGATTAAGCCCTCTGGTTCTCCATGTGATGCTCTTCCACCACGATTTCTTAAAGAGGTTTTCCTTTGTTTAGAACACTTGGTTCTTGCCCTTTTTAACAGTAGTTTGTTATCTGGAGTAGACCCTGATAATTTTAAACATGCTGTGGTGCAGCCCCTGATAAAGAAACCTGGTCTCGATCCCACTGCGTTGGGGAATTTTAGGCCCATCTCCAAGCTTCCCCTACTGTCAACACTCTTGGAGAAAATTGTTTATTCACAGTTAAAAGCCTTCCTGGATGAACATATCATGGATGTGTTCCAGTCTGGTTTTAAAAACTCTCCATAGCACAGAGTCAGCTCAGCTGAGAGTTTTTAATGACGTCCTCCTGGCATGTGACTCGGGTGATCATGTGATCCTTGTGTTACTGGACTTAACTGCTGTTTTTGACACAGTGGACCACAGCATTTTATTGTCATGTCTACAACACCAAGTAGGCATCGGTGGGACTGCTCTGGAGTAGGAATGCGCGATATATACGGTACACGGTAGAAACGATAGAAATTTAGCCTACGATAGAGATCTGTCTTCTACCGGCTAACCGCAGTAATGCTGTGTCTGATGTAAAATCAAAGTTGTCAGATTTAACAGTGACTTTTTTTTTTTGTTGAAAACTGTGCGTAACTGGAATTAAAAGTCTTTTCTTCGAGAGCTAAGTAGCCAAGCTACAAGCTAACTACGGCCGGCTTGCCGTAGTGTTGCCGTATTCGGACGCATGCACAAAATGCCGTAATCCGTTAAAAAAAAACGTTCAATACAAAAGCAACTGGACTTTATTTGTAACAGAAGATGTTTCGCTCCTCATCCGAGGAGCTTTCTCAATTCAATGAGCAGTGAGTGAGGGGAGAGCTTCTCCAACCATGTGGATATCCTAATTGGGCTTTTGTCAAGTCAGCGAGGAAATCTACTAAACAGTAAAAGGAGAACAACAGACGTAAGGGCCACCGTCAAGTCTAGTTGTTTAAATTTAAGGAAAAAAGCAAAGGTAAAATCTATTCCTTCAAGGCAACAGATGGAAACAGGAATTCATGCTTTCATTTCATCATGGCTGGCTTACTGTAATTCTCTCTATCTTAGTCAGCCAGTCCTCACTTACACGTCTGCAGCTGGTGCAAAATGCTCCAGCACGTCTTAACAGGAGCATGAAAATGAGAGCAAATCACCCCTGTCCTGGCTTCTCTCCACTGGCTGCTCGTGTATTTTAGAGTTCATTTTAAAACTATTGTGTTCGTTTTTAAGGGTTTAAACAGCCTTGCCCCGCCTTATTTGACAGAGCGTCTCCATCACTACACTCCAGCTCGGTCAGTCAGGTCCGCTGACCAGCTACTTCTGGTCATTCTCAAGAGTAAGAGGAAGCTTAGAGGAGACAGGGCCTTCTCTGTTAGTGCCCCTAAGTTATGAAATGCTCTGCATTCGCACATTCGACAGGCCCTTTCACTGTCCATTTTTAAAAGCCGTCTAAAAACTAATTTCTACTCATTGGCCTTCAACCCAACTGAGACTTGATTTTACTTCATTTTTATTGGTATTGATTTGATCTGTTTAACTCGTCGTTTTATTGTGTTTTAAACAGTTTTTAGTTCATTGTGCGCTTGGCTTTGTAGCTTTGTTTTAATGCCTTCTTTTAGCTTGTTTTTAACTGATGTTCAGCACTTTGTGTCAGCTGTGGCTGGTGTTAAAGTGCTTTATAAATAAAGTTGATGATGATGATATGATGTTTGTTCGCAGACACTACTGGTAGATTTGCAGAGTAGGTTTCCTGATCCTACTCTGCCTCATTGCCAAACAAATTATCACTGATCCTCCTTTATTGTTCCCTCTTCTTTTGACTCAAATCAGCACTTTTTTGTGCTTACTAAAGACTTTTCGCTGATAGAGACAGGTTAACCAGACAAAAGAGGGTTTCATAGATATGATGTTAACTTACCGCATACTCCTCAGGAGTGACTTTCAACACGTCAAACACAACAGCATCAAAACTCTTCTTGAGCTCTGAAGATCCTTTATCACTGAGAGATTCTGAGCTGCTGCTCTTCTAGGTAAATAAAAAACAAGTTAAAAATAAAAATCACACAAATAAGCTTGTACAAATGACATCTGACAAAGACAAATGAAACAGGTTGGTCTTAAAGTCAAGTGCGACCTCACCTCAGAGGCTGTAACTGCAGTGTTGGTGATGCTTGATAGGTCATTGGGGATGTCCATTATTCCCACACCATCTAGCATTAGTGCAGGAGACCAGTCATCCTTCTCAGCTGCAGCAAAGCCCGTCAGGCTCTCTGAACAAGTAATGAGTCAATTTTAATAAACGTAACCATTTTCACCATTGTTTAAAATTCATTTTTAAAAGCATTATCCTTCTACTTGTAGCAGCACCACTCATCTTAAACAATGGGAATTTATTTTATGTTTTTCTTCATTATAATTTGTACTGGAGAAAAAAATAAATGTTCTGGTTGACTTTACGAAGCTATTTGTCCCAGCAGGCCCACACAGGTCATATGAACTTGCAGTATTTCACATTTACAACACCTGAGAGAACAGCACAGAAGATGTGCAAAAGAGCAACAGTGGGTATATTGATAGAAATATGTTTGAAACACAGCTTCCAGGGAAAAGACAAAGAGGAGATATATGGATGCAGTTAAAGAGGACATGGATGTAGTTGGAGTGAGGACAGAGTGAGATGGAGAAGGATGACTTGCTGTGGTGACCCCTGAAGAGGGAAAAGCCGCAAGAAGAAGATGGATGACTCATATACCCCCCTCCTCGGGGAGGGAGGGAAGGATGGAATCGATTTATCTATCTGAATAGGCAAAATAAATAAATAAAAAGAATGAATGAATAGAAAAGACGAACAAGACATTTTTTTTTGTTTTTCTAATGCTTATACAGGGATTACTGCAAATAAAAATCTTAACTGAAATATTTTTTTCTCCTTCTAGAGATTAGGTGTTGCTAGACTGACTATAAAACGACTTGTTCAAAAGTACTACATTTACAAGATTATTACAACTTATTTTTCACATTTGATTGTTTATTGATTGGATTGATTCATCACTCTCATTATGGTTCTAAATATCATTTTAATTTATATTATAAATATTAGTTTATTATTGCTATATTAGCATGTAGAATCTTTGTTGCAAATATAAACTACAAATACCTGAAACTGTTTTTCCACAGGGTGAACTTCATGAGTTTGGAGGGAAAAAATTAAGTTAAATGGAGACAGACATTTTTACTGCAATCTGGGGCATAAAAATATTTTGTCTTTTAATGTTTTTTTTTAATTTATTAGAAAACTAAAGTAGTATACACAGCCATTCTCAGATTATTATTACAGGCTGCGCAATCCTGCAGCCACGCTCACTTTCAAGTACCAGGAGTTTAGTCAAGTGCACAAGTTGCACATGTCTGTAAGAGACTGACAACACTCCAGACACATTAAGGGGTGATTCAGGTTTCAACATTTTTTGCAAACGTACTATTTTTGGAGGACACCTGAAACTCACTCTCTCACAGATAACTTAGTAAGTCTGCAAGGGATTTAAGCTAAACAGAGACACGTATCTTTGCTATAATCTTGGGCATACAATTTTTTGTCTTTTAGTGTTAAGTATCTTTAATTTCTAAGAGCTAAAACAGCAGGAACATGAGTCTCACAGGCTGCACACACTCCTGCGCAGCCTGTTGGCGGCGTGCTCTCTCGATGACCAGAAGATTGGTCGCATGCACAAGATGGACATGTCTGTACAATGATGGCACTGCTCTGAACACATTAACGTTTAACACGTTACATTTTTGATACAAAAGTCCCGGGGATGAGACTCCGTTGGTAGAGCTGCTGCCTCTCAGTGAGCAGATCCATGGTTCAAATCCCAGTCCAGGGGCCTTTCTGGGTGGCGTTTGCTTATTCTCTCTGTGCATGCGTGGGTTTTCGCCGGGTACTCCAGTTTCCTCCCACAGACGAAAAACCTGCATGTTAGACTGATTGGTAACTCTAAATAGTCCCTAGGTGTGAGTGAGAGACTCAATGGTTGGTTGTCTCGTTTGTCTCCATGTGTCCCTGTGATGGACTGGAGACATGTCCAGTGTGTACCCCGCCTCTCACGCAGTGATTGCTGGATATAGGCACCAGTGACCCCCGTGACTCGAAAAGGAAGAAGCGGATAAAGATAATGGATGGAAGTCCCAGGGAGGTCAGGGACGTGCGAGATGCGGGAGTATCCATCGGTAAGAGCGGGATCAGTGGCGGCTGTGTGCATGTGCTGTTTGTGTGCCAGGTGTGAGCAGCAGAGATCTCCACTCTGAGCACTTTAAGACAAAGAGGGGCTCACGGCTGAGCAGCTGCTCGCTCAGTTGGGAACACTGCTTGCACACGGGCTCACTATACGTCAGATGGTGTGTCAATATTTGCCATGTGGGAGAAAAGCTACAGAGCATATTTAAATTTAAAAAAAAGTCTACATTTTTTCCATTTTGAAAAGCATACACCAGTCCTTGAACCTCTCACCCCCCAGGGTATGGTTTGTACACTTGTGAAAATGATGAAAACTGTAAATCACCCCTATTATTTAATAGAAAGTGATCCTGACCACCCGTGAGCGCAATGGGACAGAGCAGTCTCCCACTGCTCACAGTTTGGCTTACTGGCCATCAGAAATCATAATCCACCCTGCTCTGCTCTGACTGGGTAAAACTATGACTCTGGTTCTCTTTATATGTTGAAAGCAGCATCAGTTTAATCCCTGCATCATAATTAGATTGGAAGGCTGTAACACAACCACAAAAAAACTTGTTTTTTTTCTCTCCTCATTTTTAGAGTTGGCGGAAATCTGTCCTGGCCACGTTTAAAGTGACGGAAATTTGCAGTGGAGATGGAGAACTTTAATCCCTGCAATTAATTATTTCTATTTTAAACTGTAATAGTGACATTATTTTTAGTTTTTCCTTAGTTAAGTACTTTTTTGTAACAATTGTCATGGCTCATCATAGCCCATCAGTTTTGTTACAACATTTATTAAAGCTTCAATAACACACTTCCAAATGCTGAGTTATGTGTAAAAGTTTTTATAAAATTCCTGTTTTTGGAATATATGTGATAGCATCTGATTAGCATGCAAGCTAATAAGCCTTTAAGTAAACACAGAATGCAAATCCCAGTTTAAATAATTGTGCAAAAATGACATAAATCCCATTTTAATTCCTACAAATCTAATTTTATTAATCTCTAGTTTATTTTATTCCAGATACAAAGACAAATATTGACTCATATATTTTCAGTTTGCTCATTAATTACAAGACATTGTGAAAAAGTATTTTGTGCTGTATGCATTACATGCAACTTAGATCACAGCATCCAGTTCTGTAACAGAATATAAAGAGTTATGTGATCACATGAACTATGTGATATGCTTAAATGTTTTGTCCAGTAGTTTCCCTCTGAGACTGTTCTTTGCAAATAACAGTTTTTAAATTTTAAAAATGAATGAGCTTCTTAAATTACTGAAGGCAAGCTAGAGCATCCCTTAACAAGTGTGTGTGTGTGTGTGTGATGTCTCATGCTTAAATGGACTGTACTTCAACAACTATTAACAGTCTCCTTCATTGAATGATGCCAAGCCAAAAGCAAACACCATTAAATCATGTCTGCTTCCCTCCAAGTGTCCGACAGTCAATGTGTAAATGTACAAACAGCAATAGCTGCCTTGTGTACAAGTCTGAGACAGTTTATGAAATCGTAAATTTATAATTACCGGTACTTTGCTTCCTGGTCTAATACCCATGCACGCCTTGTGTTTTTAAATTGCTACTGGGTAAATGTAAAAAAAATAAAATCACTTGGGAGTTTTGTCTACAGAAACAAGCAAATATACAAACCATATCATTTTGAATATAAAAAGCCAGCCATAACTACAGATTTTTTTTTAAACCAGGGTTTTAACCATTTATTTTACAAACACTTTTAGGCAAAAAGACCAAAAGTTATTCTTGTACACCCAAAACCTGTTTACAACTGAACTGTTTTAAAACTACTCTGTTTCTACAACGTTTTTAGATAGTGAGAAAACCATTATTATTACTGTAAAGTTGAAATTAAATTATGCATTTGCTTCTGTATTTGTAATATCTCCAAATGTAAAGTTATTTCAACTTGATCAACATTATTTGCATACTAACTTTGAGGAACCTAGACAAGACTGATGCTTCCAAAACACTACCCACAAAAAAAAACAACTAAGTCAACAAACCAGGTCATACTTACAAGATAATATGTCAGATGCGCATTTTGCCACAAGAAACGCTGGTTATTGTCCTGCGTTGTTCTGTCTCTTTTGAGTCCTGTTTGTCTCTGAAGCTGGAGTGGGAGGAGACAGAAAAGAAGTATGATTATACAGACCATGAGGAAAAAGTCATGTGGCCATATGGAGCAAAACAGCCTGAAAATCTAAATATATGATCTTTATAAGCACTCGAGATCCTACTGAATACTTTAACAAGATAAATGAGAAAAGAAAACCAAAGTAGTGCAAGTTTTTAAATTCATGGTCATTGTAAACTGAAAAAGAAAAAAAAGTCCCATTCAGTCAAAATAATAAGAAAAGTGATGGGTGAAGAAAAAACAAAGAAACAATGATCTATAGTATCTCAATGCAACAGCACATGGCAGTGACCGAAACATATTAAGGAGCAAAGGAAGTAATATTCTGCCCCTGAAACCACCGTCTTGTTATCCTGATGTTGTGGGTTCAAGCTCAGGTTGTGTCAGGAAGGGCATCCAACATAAAACAATTGCTCAGTCTTTCATGAGAATTTGCTTGCTGTGGTGACCACTGCAGAGGAAGCAGCAAAAAGAAAAACAACAACTAGACCACAGCAGCAAAAGAAGGTGGCCTGGTTTCTTGAATCAGGTTTTTAGTTATATTACAGGTAAGTGGATTATCTCATTTGTTACATCATTTTCCAGGGGAAAACAAGGCCCAATGGGTCCTGTTCTCCATTCCAGAAGACAGCAAAAAATATATACAATGTTTTGCTCAAAAACTCAAAGGCTACCACACATGTGGATGCACAAGTTGATGCTCCAGCATCAACTTGTGGCATGGAGGCTGCACAGCTGCAGAAAGAAAAGCTTTGCAGAGAGTGGTGAAGGCTGCACAGAAGTCTGTTGGAGTCAGTCTCACCACCATCACAGACATCTACACCTCCAGATGCAAGAAGAGGGCCACCTGCATCATGAAGGACCCCACTCACCCAGCACACACACTTTTTGCTCTGCTCCCCTCAGGCAGAAAGCTGAGGAGCGTTAAGTGCAGAACCACCAGGCTGAGGAACAGCTTCTACCTTGAGGCTGTTAGATTCATGAATCTTTAATCAGGAACAATCACTGTGAAAAATTACTATGAAAAAAAAACTCCTGAAAAATCGCTGTAATGCCATTTGGTATGTGCTGCTGACTATCCATGATGCTGATCTCATGCTGCTGATTAGCTAATGTTGCCGTGTTCGTTAGTCCTCCTCTGCTCATACAGATTCGTTCGTGCTGCTGTTGTATCCCTTTATCCTGGCTAGAACACTGGGTTGGGATTACTGGTACAGCATTATAATGGTTCCGTTCATACCTGAATGACAGGAGTTTCTGTGTTAATGTTGCTAACACTATCTACTTCAATGCCTCTTTCCTGCGGGGTCCCACAAGGTTCCATTCTTGGACCTCTTCTGTTTTCATTGTATCTGCGCTCCCCTTACGGTCCGTCCTGAAGAAACCTGGTATTTCCTTTCATTGTTATGCTGATGATTCTCAGATTGTTTGTTTGTTTGTTTGTGTGTATATATATATATATATATATATATATATATATATATATATATATAT